CCTGCGCCCCGAGCTCCGCTCTCCGGCAGCCCCGCGCCTCCCGGCCTCGCCGCCCGCCTGCTGCGCCACCATGGGGGTGGAGGGCTGCACCAAGTGCATCAAGTACCTGCTCTTCGTCTTCAATTTCGTCTTCTGGGTGAGCAGTCGGGGCCCGGGGCGCGGGGGGCGTCGAGGTGCGCGCGGACCCCGCAGGCCCCGGAGGCTCGGTAGGCCGGGGCGCCGCGGGCCACCAAGGTGCAGCCACCTGTGCGCGCCGGGCCGGTGGGGACGTGAGGCCGCGCAGCTGCGGCCAGGGGCGCTCGGGGCCACCGCGCTCCCCGACGGCGGGCCAGCGCAGGGCCAGGTTTCTGGGCGCCTGGCTCCGCGAGGCGGGGGCTCCGAGCCCCGGGAGCCGCCTGCGGGCGAGTCGGGCTCTCGGGCCGCCACGGGAGGGTCTAGGCCGCGCTCTGCCAGGACAGCCCCGCCCGGGCCGGGGCGGTCGTTTCTGGGACCACCCTGCAGCGATCGGCCGGGAGGGGGCGGGGGCGGGGCTCCCCTGGCCCCGCCCCCATGAGCTCATCGGGCCGCGGCCCCGGGATGGGTGGCGGGCCGGAGCGCACGCCGGGTCTGGCCCCTCCCTCCGCCCTGCGCTCTGCCCCCGGCCCAGCCCACCTTCCGCTCGGCGGCGGTCGTGCCTGAGTCGCGGCGGAGGGTGGGCATCAGCCTGTGGCCCGCGGCCCCCTCCCCGGCCTTGCGCACCCCGCCCCCCAGCCCTGCGCACCCCGGCTGCCGACTTGGCTTCAAAAGGGGCATGGGCATGGCCTTCCAGAGTTGGCACAGGACGAGGGGCTGTCCAGACACGGACCTGGCCCCTGATTTCAGTTAGCCTGGGCTCTCCACTTAGGGACACGGCTGGCCGCTGGTGCAGAGGGTCTCCAGGGCCCTCCCCCTGCTCGACTGCAGCTTTCCTGGCCTGGTGTGTAACAGCTGGGAAGTGACCATGGGTGCATTTCTCTTTGTTTCCATTTCCGGCCAGCCTTGGGATGGAGAAGGAGGAGAGGATTTAGTGTTGGCCAGGAGAGCCTGGGAGTGGGCACCCTCAGCCCCTCTGACCCCTCGGGCCTCTTCCAAGGAGGTCTAAAGGGATGGTGGGGGGACCCAGGGGCTGCACCTCAGAAGGAAACTTGTGAAAGGGCCCCTAGAAGACTAGGAACATCTGGTTTCTATCTGACCCACGTGGGCCGGGCCAGGGAGGTGTGTGAGAGGAACTTGAGAGAGGACAGACTGGACCGGTGCCCAGCAGGGAGTGAGGGTCATGCTCCGCCCACCTGGGGAGGCCCTGGAAGTCACTCAGCTCGGGGCCTCTCCCCAAGCGAAGGGGCTGCCTGTTGGGGGGCTTGCTCTGCTCAGGATGACCCCCCAGAAATGGGGCAGTGTCCTCGCCCCAAAGAGCAGAGCCAGAGGCAAAGTTTTAGCTCCTGGAGAGTCAGAGGGGAGCGGGCAGCGGCGATGGGCGGCCCCTGGATAAAGTGCTCCAGGCCTGTCTCCAGCTGGCCACCTCCTGCAGTGGGCGGAGGCCCCACGTCCCCTGCCCCTCTGTTCTTCATTGTGACTCAGGGAAACTTTACCAGGGCCCTCCCAGCCCCACCCCTGGGGGGGTCAAGTGCCCAGGCACCCCCCTACCACTTGCGTATGCCCCGTGTTCCCCCCAGTCCCTGCCAAAGGTGGGGTCCTGAGAGTCCCGCCTCCTGGACTTGTTGGGGAGGACTTGGTGCTGGGAAGGCTCTGTGGTGATTGCTGGGCACAGTGGACGTAGGGGCCGGGGCGAGGGAGAGCCAGTGTCACAGCAGGGAACACCCCTCGTGGGCCAGCGTCCTTGGCACCTGGCAAGGCACAGGGAGCCCCAGGGTTTTGGGGGACGTGGACAAGAGACTGAAATCTTCGTAAAAGTTTGCTTTTCATGAGGTTCTCGTGCGGCTGAAGAGGCAGCTTTACAGGGTGGTGGGGCTTCTCCTTTGTGTCAGTACCCACACTCGTTCACCCCCACATCCATATCCTCTCTCGTCCACCTGCACCCCACATCCGCTCTCACATCCACCTCGTTCACCCCCACATCCGAATCCTCTCTAGTCCACCTGCACCCCACATACGATCTCTCTCTCGGGATGCCTCACCCCACTTCCATACCCGCTCGAGTCAGTGGGGACTCATGGAGGACGTGAAGTGGTCCCCTGTCCTGTCCCTGCGGCTGACCTGGGAACCCAGGCCCTGCTTCTGAGCCTCTACTTTCTGGCCCGTGAGATGGGCCTGTGTGATGCCTTCCTGGAAGAGGTGGCGCAGGTCCTGACCAGGCTGCTGCCCACCCTCCCGGGGACCGTGGCAGCCCTGCAGGCCGGGACGCCATCCAGCCCTCACTTCCAGACACCACATGGCTGGCAGTCTTCCGGGACGGGGTGCGGTTTTCCACAGAGCGGAAGGTGTGGCCCCAGGGTACCCTCTGAACCTCAGCTGAACGAGGGCACTCAAGAAGTAGCCGAGAAGAGGAACTGTGTGGTTCTGCCGAGACAGGCCAGCCGCAGCCGTGGTGTGGACCAGCCAGGCTGTCCCCTGATCCCCTTGGACAGGGCTGGCACGTGGCCTCCAGGCACCAGGCTGACACACTGTCCCTGCCTTGTAACTGTGTCTGTGCCAGACTGGGAGATGCACCCCACAAACACCCACAGCCTCACCCCAGCACCTTGACCAGGCTCTCGGGAGCCACGGGCTGCCCTCACTTTCACACCCGGCCTGCAGAGGCACCTGGCGTGGGGGCGGGGAGCTGGGCGGTTGGCCTGGAACCTGCTGGGCTCAGGGCACTGCCAGGCACCCGGGAGAGCTGGCTTCCCGGAAGCCGCGCTCAGCCTTCCCCGAGCTGTGCTGGCCTGTGGGGACGGCGTGGCTCCAGCCAGCATGCCCAGACCACCGCCGGGCCGGGCTCCAGAGGAGCTCGGGGCTCCCAGGGAGAGCCCCACCACGCACACCCCCAGAGTACTCACACAGCACGTAACCACGTCATACACACACGGCACACACACGCACCGTACCAGCTCACACAACAGACACACCTGTGCTTCTGGGACCACCTGGTGGGTCCCCTGAGCAAGACCTGGCCATGGGGCACGCTGTGTGAGGAGCCTCCACGGGGCAGCATCTCCCTGGTGGCGGGGGGCTGGCCTCTTAGGCGGGACCCCACGTGCAAGCGAGGGTGTCTGGGGGGACTGCCCACGTCTCCACATGTGGGGTCTCGTGTGAAGGTGGTTCACACTCCTGGTGGTCCCCTCTCCGTGGTTTTAGGACTGTGCTCACCTGTGACTGTGTGCTGAGTGGGGTCCAGGCTACAGCCCACATCCCGATGACCGGGAACCCCTGGCCGTGGGTGGAGTGGATAGTGGTGGAGAGCCTGCTTGGTCCTCCGGGAGCCCTCATGCCTTCTGACTGACCGGGGACTGTGATCTGTGCTTTCATGGGGTCCTTCCCCAGGGCCAGCCGAGGTCCCTCCCTGCCTGTGCCCAGCTCTTGGGCCACTTGGGCAATGAGGAGATTGAGGGTCAGAGACCAAGTGACAGAGTGCTGGTGAGTTGGGCTTCTCAGAGACCCCCCCCAGGACCTGTGGCAGCCCTGCTGCTGTCCCAGAGCCCGTGCCTGGTGAGGCCCTGCTGGACACACTAGCCTGCCTGCTTCGTGTGTGGTCACTGTGTGTCCTGGGCTTTTTGCAGAGGAGGGCAGAGGGACTCCCAGGGGAGCAGCGAGTGGGTGTGGTAAGGGTGGGACAGAGGGTGTGACCCTGGGAGACTGGGCACCAGCCCCTTCCCACTGAGAGCCCGGGCCTCCTGGCACTGCTGCTGACCCCGCCTTGGGGGGGGCTAGTCCTCACCCCTATATTTAGATGCAGTGACGAGCGGGCGGCTTCCTGAGGGGGTCTGCTTCCTTACAAACGCCTCTTCCTGCCTCACTTCCTTCCTGCCATCCAGCCAGGCCACTGCTCTGTTCCGCCCCGCCGCCCCCACCCCCCACCGAGGGCGGGGAGCCCAGGCCCGTGTGGGCACCTTGAAAGCATCCTTGCCGAGCTCCCCCTCCAGGCCACCCTGGGACTCCCGCCCCGCTCTCCTGGGTCCGTCAGGCCCTGTGACTCACACTGTGTTAAGGCCAGTGGGTGCGCCTTCCAGCACCACTCAGGGTCACCTCGGGCCAGTGGTCAGGGCACAGAACCAGTGGTCCTTGCAGAGACCCGCCAGAGCCCAGCTAGTGGGTCCTCAGGGGAGCGGACAGGTGTGTCCTTGGTGTCTGTTAGGACTTGTGGACAGGCCTGGAGATTGGAGGGGCTGTGGTCAGCACATGGAGACAAGTTTGCTGTCCCTTTCGGAGAGTTGGGCACGTGGGCACTGGAGGAAAAGACCCCGCTGGTTAGAGCTGGGCAGGGACCCAGGCTGGCAGCACACCCCCCCCTTCCACGCTGGTTCTGTAATTTATTAATAGGAAGGGAGGGAGAGAAACGGAATCCTTCAGGATGGCAGGTACCCCTTCCTCTCCCGCTGTGTTGGGCTGCCGGGAAGAAGGTGACCTCTTCTCCAGCAACGGTGTCCATCGCCCCCTCCAGTCAGTTCCCAGGGGCAGGAGGGACCTGTGACCCAGGGCTGGTTCTGGAGAGGAGGCATCCTGAAAGTGAGGCGGCCGGCACTCACCTGGTGGCCTCACGTGTGTGGGGAGCACGCACCACACTGACTCCCACACCCCATGGCCTCGGTCTACAAAGGAGGGGGACTCGAGTGTGCCCGTCATGGTCAGCGGCTGACCCGGTGGTCCCAGCAGGACAGCCCTGACTGCTTCTGAAAAGTCAGCGTGGTAACCCCTAGACCAGGCTCCCCCCTCCGCTGTCCCAACACCAGCAACACTGAGATCCAGCTCAGGGGGGTCACCCTGACTGGCAGCTGGACAGAGGAGGTGGGCCACTGGGGCAGCGAGTCTGACAGCTCAGGAACAGAGGGTGAGGGTGGTGGCACAGCCCAGAGGATGTCATTGGTATCCCCGAAGGGTGTGAGTAGGGGCTGCTGAACTTGGGGTACAGCACAGCTCTGCTCTAACACCTGCAGTGACCGACCATCGGGGCTGCCCAAAGGC